GTTAAAAAAAGTTTGGGAAGACCCCCCCCCCCCCAAAAAAAAGTCTGTCTGATATCACTCTGAGGACCCCTAAATGGCCAACTATATTTCTGGCGCCACTGCAGGCACACCAGTCATTAGCGGGGGGGGCACAAATTTAAAGATCACTTCCGCTTTATCGAAGACGACACCCTCAAGATGGACTGAGCAGTCTGAACACCTGTCAGGACGGCATGTAGCCATGCACAGCACTGCACAACGCCACCCCCTGAAGGCCGCCATTGCCCACAGTGGAACAAGGAAAACGAAGGGTTACCGAAAGGGATCCCAAAACCTCCTAAAAGCACTGAAAGGGATCCCAAAGGCCCCCCCCCGAAAACCCAAGAGTCACTAAGATCCATTCAGGACCAACTGCCTTGGGCCTTGAGCGGGCAGTCTTCCACAGAGTCCAATAACCGGAGGACTGCTTTTCTTAGTGGACAGACTTCAGGCTACAGCTACCTGTCCAAATCAACAGGCGTCTATGGCTCTAGTGGGTTGGGGAGGGGGGGCAGCCATTTGCCCGGCCTCCAGCGAGATCTGCGGTGAAGGCCCAGGTGGGGGGCAGCAAGGGGGGTGGTAGCTGAGGGGAGGGAGAAGGGAGGAGAACAGGGGGAGGGGAGGCAGTGTCAGACAACTCTCTCTGAAGATGCCAGGAGAGGAACAGAGGGGGGAGCGCCAATGTTCCCTCTAAGCCGTGGAGTCTTGTGAGCAGAAATTCTACTTTGTGAGCTCCTGGCATTAAAGTTGTGAGCAAGTGATTTGGCTACTGCATCAATTGGTTTGCTCTGGAGCCATCCTTTCTGAGCTAAGACAAAAATCTGTGAGCTGGAGGCCAAAAAACTGTGAGCTAGCTCACACTCACTCAGCTTAGAGGGAACACTGGGGGGCGCCCCTGGCCTTAGAGGCCCCTGCAGAGGATGCCACCTGAGACACAGGTGTAGCCAGGGGCGGAAGAGAACCAACCTGGCGTAATGGTTCAAGTGTCTGTCTGGGATCTGGGAGAACCCACATTCGAATCCCCACTCAAAGCTCCCCAGGTGACCTCTGGGCAGCCACACGCTCACAGCCTAACCCACCCCACAGGGTTGTTGTGAGGACAGAAAGAGGGAGGAGAAGAGAAGAGAAGGGGGGAAGTCGCTTCGGGTCTCCACTGAGACAGGCCATAAATAAAGTCAGCAAATAAATAAATAAGGGGAAGAGTGCCTGGCCCACCGGGAAGTGGAACAAAAGCAAATGGGTTTCCCCAAGGGGGGGGGGCTGGCCCTGAAAAGCGAAGGGTTCCCAGGTGGTGGTGGGGGGCCTTTCCCGTTGGTAAGAACGCGCCCTTGGGCCCCGGGGGTCGCCGAGGAGGCCGCCAGGGGCTTACCTTGAAGGCCACGGGGAGCGTCTTGTTGCAGCGCCAGTGCGAGGGCAGGACGGAGCAGAGGAAGTTGGGGCTGTCGGTGCGCACCAGCTCGGCCGGGTGGTCGGCGATGATCTCCACCATGGTGCGGTTGTCGTGCGGGCGCAGCCGGGGCGCCGCCGCCTCCTGGTGCTGCTGCTGCTGCTGCTGCTGTTGCTGCTGCTGGGCCGCCACCGCCGCCGGGCTGACCTCGCTCATCTTGCCGGGCTGCAGGCTGCTGGAAGGGGGGCTGAACCTCCGGCTGGTGCTGGGATCTACGGGAATACGCATCACAACAGCCACAAGTTAGCGAGGAGCGGAGAGGGGGGGAGAGGCGGAGAGGAGGGCGCGGGAGCGGCGGGCGGGAGAGGGGGAGAGAGGAGGAGGAGGAGGAGGAAGAGAGGGGGACGCGGGGTCCGGCGAGCCGGGGGCGGAAAGGTGCCGCTGCCGCCGCCTCTGCCGGCTTCCCCTGCTGCTGCTGCTGCTGCTGCTGCTGCCGCCCCGGCGCAAGTTTTTGTCTCTGCTGGCGGCGTCGGGCTTCTCCTCTCCCTCCCCGCCTTCCCCGCGAGCTTGCTGGAGCGCGTCTGTAGGCGGGCAGGGCTGGGCTCTGCGCTCTCCCCCAACTTGCTGGGGCGTCTTCCGTTCCCCCCCCCCTGCCGCCGCCTCCTCCGCCTCCTCCTCCTCTCCTCCTCCTCCTCCGGCGGCGCTCCTTGCGCGGAACGCGGCTTCTTGCGAGAGGTCTCTTCGGGTCCCTTCTCCGGCCGACGCGGAGATACGCCCCGCGGGGGACTTGGCCGCCGGACTCCGGTTTTTGTCGGCGAGGAGGGAGGAGAAGCGGGGAAGGCGCTGCTGGCGCAAACGCGCGTCTCCGTCTCTCGCTTCTTCTGCGCTCTTCTGCCGCCCGAGCGGCACAGGAGGCGGCGGGAAGAAAAGCGGACTCGCCGCCCCCCGAAGAAAAATCAATGAGGGCAGCAGCTGGGG